GGCTGTGTCTTCAGATTGCCTGCATTAGTTAAAGCACGTAATCTGGGGTTGTTCTCCTCCTGTCAATGATGAGCAAAGTCCATCAAAGAAGTCTGAAGCTTAAATTACAGATGCTTATCAGCTGCTTGCTGTTTTTAAGTTAGTTCCTCTAATGTTTTGCTTCACATGTTAAATAAACCCATTTGTTTCAAGGCGTCTGTTCATATCCACACAGCACTGATCACAGCCCTCTGGAGAAAGGATGCAGAGGCCTCTGCCCAAAAGCTGCTTCCACAGGCAAGGAAGAGAAGTTACACGTTTCCCAGAATATCTGAAAACATAGAGTTCATCCCCAACATAAGCCAAAGAGATAGGTCAGATGCTTGCCATTCAAAAATCAGAGAGACAAGACTAAAAAAGATGATGGATCCCCCTCACCACCTCCTAGACATTACTCACTGCTGTAACAACCAGCAACCTGTATTTGACTATTACCAAATATGTCATGAAGACAGCAAAAAAAATATGTTGAAGTCAAACTGAGCCAATAACAGTTCACTGGGAACTGATCCCCATATTACTTGCTAAAGCTGCAGTTTACAGCATATTTGTTTTGAAAGAAATGATGATAAACGCAAGAACCTAAAGTCATGATTTCTTGTGTGACTGGAGGACTCTGCACAAGTTCTTGAAATATGCTGCAGTTCCAGTCCTTAGAGATGCATGTGGAGAGAGGCATACAAAATATAGGTATGTACTTCATTTTGCTTCGCAACAGAGAGGAGCCTCAAGCTGCGCGGTCTATCTGATCACAGAATCACAGACTGGGTGAGGTTGGAAGGGACCTGTGGAGGTCATCTTGTTCAACCCCTCAACTCAAGCAGGGTCACCTACAGCCAGTTGTCCAGGTCTATGTCCAGATGTTTTTTTGAAGATCTCCAAGGATGGAGACTCCATAACCTCTTGGGTGCATTACAGGACCTTTGGCTGCAATAAAGTCAAACCAAATTTGAAATTCTCATGAGTCCCTTCTGCCTATTAAATCACCATTACAGAATACATTTTCATGAAGACAGCATGGCTTCAAATGCTGCTGAACCGAGGAAAACAACCCACAGGGATTCCTGCCACTTAATAGCATACACCGAAAGCAAACCCAGACAGCTCTGAGATGGTGGCAAATGTGCAGCCAGGCTCATTTTATACAAATGTGCCACAGTGGGAGCACAGGGAGCAGGGAAAGGAAACTCTGGCCCTTAGGAATTTGGTACCATATTGCAGAATTTAGCAGTCACAGTTCCCCAATGACACACTATGCCTAAATTTCACAAATGGCCGTCGTTGAATAAGCAGTGCTTCCTAATGAGAAATCTCAGTGCCCTCTTGGCAGAGGAATAAGCCACACAACAGTGAGAAAGAGGTGGCACAGATGGGTGAAAAAGTTTCTAAATCAGCATGAAAGAGCCAGGAACATCTACCATGGCATGTCTGCTCTGCAACCCATAGCTGTGACTGCAGCTTTTGACACACACACAAGCCAAATATGTTATCACAGGTACATTGACAGCTGTATCAACTGCAGCAAAAACTCTGCCAAGCATAACAAATCCTGCATAGACCTCTTGGGAAGCACTGGGGACACACACTTTACAGAGCACAGGGACACACTGCCATGGCATGAGCTCAGAGAGCCCAGGCTGTGGCCTTCAAGCTAGGTACAATTCATACACCGTAATGTGGTCCTCATGGTGGAGAGGGACTGAGCCACCAGGACCTGCTGAGGGTGGCAGCACCTGGTGGCCCCCTCTGTGGTGAGCTCTGGGGAGTCACTCCAGCTGCTCCCCAAAGCCCTTGTTTATCCCTTCCCAAGGTACTTTATATGTGTCTAATGGCTTCTGGCCACAAGAAGATCTTGGTGTACAGTCCATTAGGGCAGAAAGGTTACCAGCTACTGAGCAGAACTACCAGCTACCACTTCCCCCAAATGCTTTGAGACCTCTTTCCCCAAGTGGTGAGCTACCAAATACAGCTCCTGCATTTGCTGTGGCCACAAAAACTGTCTGTGAGTAGCCAGCAGACACAGCAAATTAAGATTTTTCTCCTTCTGCCTTCCAGTATACCTTCGGGTACCTGTAGGTCCCAAGGCCTTGCTTTAATGCTCTGACCTTCAGCCTCATGCAATTTCAGGCACAAGTTTCTGCAGCTTGGGTAGAATGCATGTGTTCCTCATTTGTTATAGCAACACACCCTAATTCTGCTGGAGAAAGAGCACAATTGGGTGATACAAACCCAATTGCTACAAAAGGGAGAAAAAAAAAAAAAAGTCCCCTGCTGCTGCCAGCTCTCCTCCCATCACTCTGTCACTGATGGAAAGCTGGGTTGTCCTGAGAGAGAGTTAGAGAAGTTCAGCCCACAGAAATACAACATGAAGGAAAACAATATATACCTGGAACAGTTTTTGCCTTTAACAAGCTCACTGTGAGGTCTGACCAAATGCTTTCTTGGTGACAGCCAGCAAATAGGTTGGTTTAGCTCTGCCACAGACACACACCCCTCACATGTTGCAGGAGTTGGTCTCTGCTCTGAAGGTTAGCAGTAAAAATAAATAAATAAATAAATTAAATAAAAAACAGGAAGCATTTCTCTTTCCTGTTTTACACATGAGGTAAGAGCATGGCTTAAATGATCCACTCCACTTATGCATGTCTGAGCGTGGGTTTGGAAATGGGTCCCTGGATCTCCTTGCAGCGCCTTTGCCACAACGCTGTGCTCAGGATAGGCTCAGTAAGGAGACACAGTAGAGAAAAAGCCCATCACAATCTTGCTAGACCTTCGTTTTCCACCTTGGTCCTTGTCCCATCTGCGTGCTCCTGAAATGTGGAGGCAGCGCCAGCCTCCTGCTAATTTTTGAGTGGAGGCAGAAAGATCCCTTGAAGCACAAAAGCACATCCCCTCCCTGGAAGCAGCCTGCTCCCTTCTTTCCAAGAGAGTAAAAACTCTGCATGAATGTTTTATGAATCAGCTGTGTGCTCATTCCAATGATAAAGCCAGCTTGGCAATCCGGCCTGAAAGGGGGAAGCTGAAAACCTACAGATTCCAACTGGCATGTTTTTAGACGTGAATGTTTTCTCCCCATTGGAGACATAACTTTCAGTCACATCTAACTTGGGGAGGTTTCTCTGCTTCTAAAGAAATTGCGGATTATGTCCCAAGCATTACTCACAAGTGAACAAAATAGATTTGTCCCTTTAATGACTTCACTGCATACACGTATGCACACTGCTAACTGGTCACAATTTGGGGCCCTTGGTGCAGTTTGATTTCCTGATTGCAGCCCTTTTACATTCTCAGCAGTCCACTATATGCAGTTGCAAATGATATTTTAAGATACAGAAGAGGCATAGATAAGGTTCCTTCTTGTTTAACCTCCTGCTGTATTGCTCAACCTAAAATAAATGTAATTTAGAAAAGGATCCTCTGCAGAAAACACCATAGGTAGGTAGGAAGAAAATGCCTAACGTGTTTTGTTTTTGTTTTTGTTTTCTTGCTCTGTTAATCCCAGGCTGAAAACATACTTAAGTCCAGTTCTCCCCACTGTCATATGGAGAGGAGTAAATGGATTTTTTTCAGACATCAGCTCTACTCAAGGGAGAGGGAAGGGGAGGGGAAGACTTAAAAAAGCTATATAAAATAGCCATGGAAGACAGATACTAGACAGGAGAGAAGGCAGAGGTGACAGCCAACAATTTTCTAGAAGGAAGTGAGAGAACCCTGATGCAAATGGAGGGATGCACCAGACCACCAGATGCACATATTCCACCATCCAGAGGGTACTTTCACACCTCCAAGGAAAACTGACCCCCAGGGTCCAAACATACCTATATATAAATATACTTACAACCAAATATACCTATAAACAGAACAGCTGGAAATACAGCCACTGGACAAGTACCGCCAGCTTCATGGATGGGTAACACAGCACTATCTACAGTCAGTGATGCAGAAAGAACTGTAAATTAACAAGCTGATCATCATCTTTCCTAGCTGAAAATAATCCCTCCATCCCTCCCCTGTCATAAACCCACAAATACACCATGTTGCAGGTCTCATTAGATAGCAGCTGTCTTTGGGAAACAGGTTCGGTGATGAGGGTACTCTGATGAGCAGGACATGAATCATCCTTTGCTTGACCTCATCTCCCAAAAGTCATTTGTTTTATAAGCTCCTCATTCCAAAGGGAAACCCAATGGCACTAATTATATCCATGGCAGCAGCATGAAACAGGAGACTCCCTGCTGTTGGTGTGGACCACCACGGTGGTGGTGATGGTGGCAGCATGACTGATGGCGTGTGATGGCTGTAAAGAGGCCTGCTCTCACTCAACAAGCCTCAAAGCCGAACCTCAGCACCTACCCGTTCAGCAAACGGCCTCTAAAAATGCTTCACGCAGAGTGCTTCCATCCCCACTGTGGTCAATGCTAAATTGTTATTTTTTCCTCCCTTTTTTACTGCTTCTGCTTTTCAACATATCAAATTCACTTGAGGTCTCAACGACCATTTCACCAGGGTGGGAGGCTGATGGATGGGGCTGCCAGCAAGAAAGGGGAACAGAGGATGGAGGGAATAAAGATAAAATGCCTTCATTTCAATTTTTCTTACCGCATTGTGGAGGCACATACAGACAACCCAAGAACAAAGAGGAAACACCCCAAGCCTACTCTATCTAGGACTAGGGGTCCAGGAGGCTCCCCTGAGAGTGTGGTGACCATAGGGATGCTTAAAGTCTTGATTTCATTTAACTGCAGGAGTCTGGCTTTTACCATCTCACGGTCCAGAAAAGGTGCAGAATCTGACCTGGCTTTGAACTGCACAGTGATAATTAAGCTCAGTACGGTTCTGCTATGCTCAGTCTGATACCAATACAATCCCTGTCCCACCTCACCCCCCCCAAAAAAAAGAAAAACCCTCTGACAATCCAACAGATTGGACAAAGAAAAAGTAAAAAAAGTGAGAAGATTTACCTGAAGTCAATTTACAGTTCAGCAGCAGTGCCAGAAACTTCATTCCCACGTCAGCACTGGTAGGTGGAAGGAGGGAGGATGGATGAGGCAACAAGAGGTGGGGAGAAAAGCTTCATAGTACTGCAGTCCCCTTCAAAACCCCCCAGCCCATGGAGCTGCCTCCTATGGGTGAGAATGTAGGGGCAGATCTGTTCTGTTTAGGCCAAGAAGGGATGATGCAGGGGAGGAATAAGGAGGGCAAGGCCTAATGAAAGATGAGATGGGGAAAATAGTTAATGGAGAAAATTCCTCTGACTTATAAGCTTTAAGCTCATAAGATTGCATAAAGGAAGATGACAGGAGGCACTGGGGAAAAATGTGGCAGTGGCAGATTTGGTTAGGGAAAGAGAGCTGGAAGAGCACAATACAGCTCTTTTTCTTTTTTCTTTTTCTCCCTCTGAAAGCCTGCAGAGAAATAGAGAATGGATTTAATTGGCAAACATACTGCTCACTGCAGAGCTAATTAACAAATTTGCAAGTCCTTCACCTCCCACAGATCTTCTCACCAAAATTCCTCTCACAGGCCTTGAACTCGCTGATCCCTGAGGAAGCAGCTGCAGGGACTGTCCTGTCAGACCTGTGCTGATGAAGATGAAGCTGATGCTTCCACACAGACATGTGGGAATTGGACATACTATGCAGTCCCAGGAACAGATCTGCAGCCAGTTAATTTGTTAATTAACAAAAGGTCAGAAGCGCTTCAACTAGAGCAGAGCTCTTTGCTTGAGAATCTTTGCTAGCTAGTGCCTCAGGTGACAGCTTTGCTCCCCCGTGCTAGTAACATCTGCCTATATCTATTATGGTCTCCTTTAGCCTCCCTTCTTGCCATGATGATCTTGGCTAGAGGCTTGTAAAATGAGTGGGATGAAAATTGGGTTGGATAGCTGAGAACCACACGGAGCAAAGCAAGCTTTCCAAGCATTCAGACTAGCTGGGCTCACTGTTTTACTTCAGGCACGTCTTGTCAAACTTCGTGGCTTGAAACCAGCCTGCTCTTATTGGATTTGTAAGATGGGAAGGACTGAGATCTTGTGAGAAAAGCTGGCCGTTTCTAACTTGATTAGTGAAAGAGCAAAAAAGCCCTGGATCCAGATTGAATCACAAGACCTGAGTTTTGCTGATCATTACCAATAACCCTCTGACTTCCACTCTGGGGCTCGTAGGCAGCTCTGCAGAAGCAGTTTAAGGGTAGCTGAAAATTGCACTGCAACTGCACAAGGGTCAGGTTAACCTAAAGCACTGCCACTTGCAATTTACAGGTTAAGAAATATCTTGTTGGACATAGCAGGATTGCCTCAAACTTTGCTAGGCTTATAGACAAGAGGACTGGGCTGTTGATTCACACAGCAAAGTCAGTGCCAACTTTGCAATATACAATCCCAGGTTGCAGAGGGGTTAATGTTGGCTCAGCCTCCTGAGAGAGAAGTATAAACCAATGTGATTATATGTTCTTGCAACTAAACCAGCTCTTAAGATGTTTTGGTCCAGCTGATCTGAATGGTGCCAAACCAAGTTAAAGTAACGAGGTTAAAGAAAACATGCTTTTGGCCCCTTCTTTTATAACTTTATCATAACTCCGCTAGAGCTATACATATCATCTGTGTAGGTAAGGCGAAATTGTAACACTGAATTTAAGAGCCTTATGGGCAAGATGTCAACTTTCCTTACCTTCCAGATAAACTAATTTTGTTGCCTCTCCCAGGAAAGCCATTAGGTAGAGTCCAATGAGTGGCTGGGTTTCCATTAAGCATGCTAAGGGATGTAGTTCTTTTATTGATGCATCTTACCCCACAAGGTACCTATACATAAGAACCTGGAATTGGAGGAGTCTACAAAAACCCTCCAGTTCAGCCCCTCAATACAGTAAGAACCACAAAAGCTAACCCCTTTAAGCAATTTTAAAAGACCCTTTAAAAAAGGTGGGGAGGAGAATGAAGTGTCTTAAGCCTCCAGAGAAACCACAAAGGAATTCCACTGTTCAACCTCTTGCAGAAAAATGGAAGTGGACACAGTTGTGCTGAGATTGCCCAGCTTTATGGTCAAAGCAACACAACCCTGGTGAGTGTGGTGGAATGAACTGTGCGGATTTTGTTGTAGGCCTAAATCTGGCCTAACTAGCATTAAGGCTTGCCTTAGCTAAAGCCATGGTTGGTGTTGGAAAAGCTTGCAGCTAAATTATGCCTGTGTAAAATGGGAAGTGAGTTAGTTGTTTTTTTCTGTCTGATAGAGGCAATGGGGAACTGAACCATGAGTTATTGGATTTTTTATTTTTTATTTTTTGCTTCCTCAGGCTCTGCGGTTACCTTGCAACAGCATACGCTTACTCATGGGTTTTGCAAATTTATCCAACAAGGTCAGTGGGTTGGTAAGCAAAGGCACAGAGAGCATCAGTGCACCAACCCAGCCATGTAATAACTAAACAGAGGCACAAGCTTAGAGTTTGTCCCAGCTGCAGCAGGAAGTTTAAAGATCAAAATCCTGTAACACTTGAGCCCCCCCAGGATGACCCAGATGTGCTGCTGGTGGTGGAAATGATCAATAGAGTAACTGTTTGGGGCACTGGGTGCCTAGAGCTCACAAGTTTTGGGGGTAAACCTCAGCTTTTGGTTGTAGTTTTGAAGTTAAAAGGATGCAACCCAAACTCCTAACTGGGGGTAATCCTGCAGTGATGATTGTGACAATAGGTATGGTGCTGGGTTTAACAGTACCTCTGAAGACCCCTCTTGTCAACAGAGAGGAGGATGTGGAGAAGATAATGAACATGGGGCAGGTTGCATAAATTACTGAATGACTAAGATGCCTGTTAAGAGCAGGCAGAGACCTGGGGCTATCCAGGTAAAGAAACAAACCTTGTTCAACCTTGTTCCCTTGTTTCATCCATTAAGCACCTCCTGGGGAAGGTGTTGAAAGCCTGGTCCATCACGCTGCCAGGTCACTGAAGAGCTCAGGGATGGGACTGGGCCTGTCCAGGCAAGACTGCGGGTGGGTCTGCTGAGCCCCCTTCACTGCAGACATTGAAGAACACAGCCTGGGGCTAAGAAGGTTCATTATTAGCATTGAATTGGTCTTTACACTTCCAGGTGTGTGTCACTCAGCAGCTGTGCGAGCTTTGGGGCATTTCTTTCTAAGCAGGCATGAGCAAGGCAGGGGAAGCCTGTAGCGCTGGTGCGCTTCCCTGTGGAGCCCCAGCGGGGGCTTGTTTCCCCCTTTCAAAGCCTTTTAATCTTATGGAAGGGAAACGCGGCCAGCAGGATGTGCCGAGCCACTGGACTAGGCTTTATGTCAATGTCTGGCTCGTTTCTGCTGGAAACTCCAAAATCTTTCCTGTGGAAGGAGCAGGGAGTTTGGCCCTTCACGTTGCCCACATATAGACTGCTATATATTTAAATTGAGAGAAGACAGGAGGCACGTGAAGTGCCAGTACAAAACTGAGATGGGAAGGGGCAGGGATCATACAGTTCAAAGCTGTTTTTTCCACAGAATGCTATGGAGAGTTTTTATATATATATATAAATACTTACATATAATATAAATATATACATATACACACACACATGTCTTAATTCATGTAACTTTATTTCTCTTTTAGCTCTCTATCTGTTTACAAAGCTATGCTGGGGCAGGGGGGTGGGGAGGAAGAATCCCTCTTTTTCTTATTTGGGAAAATGAGGGGGAACATAAGGGATACTTTCTGAGTGCCCAACTTGAAAAATCAATGATTTATTATTCCAAACCAAGTTTTCTAAAGAGCTATAGGCACAGAGCAAGTTCACATTCAACTCTACCTACCCTCTATACCTCCTGCCTGCTTCTCCACCTCCCCCCCTTCTCCTTCCCAATGTACGAAAATACCGACCCCGGGATCAGCAGGGATCACTCCCGGGAAGAGCAGAGCCGACACCACCAAGGCAGCAGCGGGGCTCCCAGCCTCGCCATACCCTGCACAGCCACGGAGGTCCAATGCCTCTCCGAAATCCTCCTCGTCCGAATCAGTGCCGGCAGCCCGGAGAGCAGCCCGAGCGCGGGATGGAGCAGGAAGCCTAAAAACTTCGGTCTGCAGAGAGACCTCTAGTGTTTTTCTTTCTCCATGTCCTGGCAGAGTTCCTCCAAAGTACAAATACACACAGAGCTCCCATTGTTTGCAGCCCTTCACAAGCCCACTGATCCTAATATGGAATTCAGCAGGAAACCCATGATTTCCTGACACACAGCAAGCTGGAGAAAGAAAGGAAAAACTCCATTAAAACCCTCCAGACTCTCCTCCATGTTAGAAATGAAATGGAAAATGGAGTGGATTTAACAGGAATCCCTGATTCCTGCGGCCAGGCTGGAGGAAGGGAGACGCGACTCAAAGCCGCAGGCTGCTGATATTTTTTAAGTCGCAATAAATACCGAGAACTCCGGGGCAGGATGAGGATTTCCTGACTCGGACGAACAAGAAAGGACAGATTTTTGCAATATTCCTCTGCTTATATTTAATTTATTCACCTCGATGATTCTCTTGACTGCTCTGGTAATTGTTAGAAGCGGCTGTGACAGCCTGGAAACATTAGTATGATTTCCTGAGTTTGAGATTCCTCCCCCCCCACACCACCACCACTACTCCAAACTCAGGAAAAGTCAATACAATCGCACTTCATTTTTCCTTCATGTGCACTTGGAAGTCCTGGGAGCAGCAAGAGCAGCGGCGGCAGCAGCAAGAATGAACTGCAAGGAAGAAGATGACAACTGCACTGACGGGAGCAGCAATAACCCCAAGAAGATGTTAAAATGCGTGGTGGTTGGGGATGGCGCGGTTGGGAAAACCTGTTTGCTGATGAGCTATGCCAACGACGCCTTCCCTGAGGAGTACGTGCCCACCGTGTTTGACCACTACGCAGGTAAGGAAGGGCTTTAAAAGGAATTTTAATGGGGAGCTGCAGGAGGGCCAGGTGGGAGGTAAGGGAAGATCAAGGATGGTTCGGAGGCGATGCACGGGTTACTTCTCATCCAGGAATGTGATCCAGGCCTGGACGGTGGCCAGAGAGCTTGGATGGCAGTTCATACAATTGGGGCAACGTGGGATTTATGCAGAGAACTTATTTGTTTGCTTCCGATTTTTAGTTTGTTTTCGGCAAGTAAGAAGCATTAGGGATGCAATTAAATGCACTGGGTTTTGGGGACAACAAATGTAGTTCAGCCTCTGTCAAGTTATATTCAGCTGCTTGGTTTGGTGTTTTTTCAATTCTGAAGTTCTGAACTTTGCAGGCTGCAGTTATGGTGAAGATTATATATATATGTACACATAAAATATACATTGTTGGTGATAAATTACATAAATTACAATATTTATGTCCTATTTAAGGAGTAATCTTTGAGAAAATCAGCATATCTCTGAGTGCTGTCAGAATATAGCTCTCAGGGAGATTTTTTTACTCCGTCTATAAATAGAATTTAATATTATAACTTGACAGTGGAGAAAGCAGAAGCGGTGATTGGTTTGAGTACTTTATACTGAGGGAATTTTTAGCATAAGAAAAAAATATGAACATAACAGAGATCACAGATGATGTTGACTGCATCAGTGTGCAGAACAGACCCACAGATTAAGCACAATATTCACAGGCCTCTATCTGTAGCAATTACTTTACCCAGCTGTGTCCAAAGTTACCACACAGCTGTTGTGACAGGCTAAAACTGTTGCTCAAACTCCTGCTTAAATTTTCCTATCCCAGATTCTGTTGTTTTCCTTATCTCACTGCTCCTTTGCCTTATGGTTGTTGTTGTTTTTAAGACCCCCCCTGAAAACAGACTTTAGAAGCACTGCAGAACCGCTGCTTATCTCGCAGCAGCAGTTGGAGTTTCCCTCATTCTCTCTCCACCTCCTTAAAAACTGAATTTTCATGGCGTGGCTTATCATAGATTTGGTGTTCTGTAATGGGAAAATCTCTGTTTTCGTTCTGGCTTTGTGTCAGGTTTAGCAGATGAACTGGCCAAACAAGAAAGCTGTGTAATTGCAGAATCTGATCCATGGAAATGTGAAGACCTTTTCCTCCACAAGAGTGGGCAGCATCACTTCTAATGCAAGCAACACTCTCTTTTCTCTGTTATTACCACCAGATAGACTGAACAACCATTTTAGAAAAAAAAATCTTTACCCAAACGAGATATATGAAATATTTTATGGTGTAAATAAGTATTTCCGCAAGGCACAAATCCTATGCAAGGCTGCACGGATTTCTGTCTTATATTGTGATAGCACCCACTTACTTTCCTGTGATAAGCTGAGGTCTGCTCGTCCCTTACAGCCTTGCTCTCCAGCAATATGCTGGCTCCAGCGCCCACCACCCTCTGCTCTCTGCCAAGCCCTGCAAATGCCTCTGCGTATGGAGAAACCCAAATGCTAGCTGGCACTGGACCACATATACGTTGATCTGTGGGCTGAGTGGACTTGCTGTGAGCATGGGGGCACGAGTGTGTGAGCGTGGGGGCTGTGCACACCCAGGTGCTGATGCCAGCCACTCAGGCTGGCACTTGGTGGGGCACCAGGCTCTTCCCTACCAGGTCACTTGCAGGGATGTCCCTTAATTCATCTCCTCTGTGTCAGAGGTGGTAGAAATTGCTCATGGGCTCCAAAATCACTGAGGGAGAAGAGGGCTGAGAGAAGGACAGGAGGAGGAAGAGTGTCACTCTATAATCCTCATTTCCTTAGGATACCAGGTAAAAGCAGTAGGCAGGCACATTGAAGCCAATCTACTTTTTCAGGCTTTGAAGATTTAGACTTGTAAAGTATCTCCAGCTATTCTTGTTTGCCTTCTAAACTATTATAGCACATAAATGTAAACTAAAAATGAAAATGTTTCTAATGACAAAGTTCAGAGAGATAAGGGAAAATATAGCTCTGTACATTAACATGCTATTGTGAGACTTTGTCCCGTGCCAGTGGTCAAAACTAACACTGGTCAAAAATGGAATTTCATTTTTGTGAGAAATCCCATTATTTATTAAACCTATCTCACTACAAAGCAGCACACAAAATTGAGCAATAGAAATGGCTTTTGGAGCAGAGTGCCAGAAAAAAACCTTCACTCATAATAACATAAAGACATTACGTGGCATAAAATATAACATAACCCATTAAAATACTTTAATATACTGTGTATACTGAGAGGAAAGAGCTCACTTAGGCTCAGACTTACCTCTAAGCTCACAGCTTTTAGGATACTCTGTGGCAATGGACCCTTCTACCCCTCCCCACGTGGCAGCCCACGGCCACAAGGACAGGTGGCATGGTGCTAACGTGGGCATGGCAGTACCACCACAGCATGCAGAAAGGTTTTGCACATTGGCAGATCCTGGAGAGCAGTCAAAGCTCTGGAAAAATCACATTGAAATTTATCTTGCCACATGGCTTGGTCTGCCCCTGCCCTTGCCCCTGTCAAAACCAACCATTTTGACCTACCCAAACAAGCTGAAACCAATTTCAGCTGGTCTGTGTTGAAAATGCTCATAAGCAATTAACTGCAGCAGGTTTTTTGCAAAGCTGCACTTTCCATTGAAGGTTTTTCACCCAGGCATTATTAGCAGCAGTGGTGTGTTAGCAAGTGCTTCGTCTTGCCTCACCAGGTCACAGCCTGGTTGTGAGTCCCAGGGCATTTACAAATTTCCTTCTTTCTAATGGAAAAAGTAGCGGGAGGGGGGGGGGGGAAGGCATTAAAAACTGAGGATTCCAATTGTGATCTCAGAGCAGTTTCTCACCGCCGCGACTCCAGCGACTCGGGGGAGACAGTGATGCTATCCAGCCCAGAATTGGGAAGAGCTCCAGATGCACCGCTGTCATGGCCAAGGCGTTAACCGTTCACCGCCCCGCAGCACCAGCTGCATCTACTTGCCCTGCTCCGTTGCATCTTGTCAGCCTCAGACCTGGGGCAGCTTTACAACAGCACGAAGCAGATAAGCACACCAACAAGGTGTCCCTGAGGAAGCAACCAGCGTTTCAAAGCGCTGACCTCCAACTGGTATTAAATCCACACGGTACTTAGCCTTGCGTATGAGAGGGCTTGAAACCACTTTATAAAATTTGGACTCACCCTGCCTCTAAGAAAATCAAAGGCAATGTGTGGATTTCACCCAGGGAAGGAACAGGCTTCCTGCAGGCAGGCTCGGATACGGCACTGCCTGGGACGAAAGGCTGTTGGCGTTTCACCATGTACGCAGCTGCACTGTACAAAAGTCCAAACCAGTTATTAGCTCCACACCACTAATATTCTGCCACAGATTTCACCCACAGTCCACAAAAATGAATTTGTTCAGGGCCCGTTGCCAGGGCTGGGATGTGATGGATATAGAGCAGGGTCAGAGGTAATGCCAGACAGATGGGGAAGGCGAACTTGTTATTTGGATACGAAACTGGGCTCTTTTGTTGGATGCGAGGAAGTTTATGATTCTGTTTATTTCTCGAGGCATTTTGAAGAGGTTTTGCTGGAGGCCAGAACCCTGAGTAGGTTTTCTTACCTTTCGTGAAAATCCAAGTCCCACGCCAAAAGGGTTTAGCCACAAGGTAAATGGCTGTTTCTAGGGCAGGCGAACCAAAGTGCAATCCCAGTGACAAACAGGATATTACGGGCCATAGCTGTAACAATAGGGACTGTTTGGATAGTGAGTAGATACTTTAACATGCTGCTTCCATTCTGTCTTTCCAACATCAAACGCCGTTTTTCCGTGAGCAAAGGTCTCTCAGCCAGGGTGACTTGTATTGTGTCTAACTATATGAAATTATAAATGTTTAATTAGGGCTGAGGTTGTACTAAAAAGATCAACTAATTACTAGCTGAGCTGGTTTGATAGTGCCAAAATGAACAGGGTCATTCTGTGGAAGGCAGAAGGGAGACGTGTCATCTTTTTTACTTAGGCAGCCACTGAGCATCTTGTTTGATACTCATGAACTTTAAAAAGCCAGCAATTTTTAGCATGAAATGTATTCACCCCAGAATTTTTACTGAGAAGTGCATTTGTTTTTCTATATGCAAACCCTCAGTTGACTGGGGGG